TGGAGATATATCGGAGTCAGTTAATGTTAATAATGAATGTCGTGAGAGTACATCACCACTTACACTTCCTTATGACCGTAGTTGTGTGTACAGTAATCGCTCTTGAAAGATGATTGGTGTATGACGTGAAATGTCCATGTGTATGATTTTTATTTTAAAACAAAAAAGCAACAAAACAACAAAAACACTAACAACTGTGTGATGCCAGATGATTGTCAAAATTAATGGTCTACAGTGTTTTATCGACCTTCTTGAAAACCGTCAAAATCAAGAATGACACACCATGCCCGTGTATTTGGCTACTGCGTTGTGCGTGTGCATCCAATGCGTTGTGTGTAGGGGTGACGATCAAGGAAAATGGCGGTACGTTCATAACATATCTGTCTTTGTTTACGCTTATACTTCCTATCCAACTGAAAGTTCAGGTTTCCCATTTTTTGTAAGAGTGTATATGGTTGTAGTAATGCTATGATTATCTCTTTCAACGTCAAGCAATATTCTTCAGATACAACAAGAGGAAGACCCCAGCTGGCCGACGCACCTGATATTTCCCCGCAACGTGCAATTCAAGGATGCCTACATTAAAGGAGATATCGATCTTCGTTCTGGCTGCGTTCATTGGTAAGCTTCAGATAAAGCGAGGTAATCGGATGCCCTGAGTATCAGGTATGATTGTTACATGGGTGTTTGGCAAGACTCCTCGATTACACTCTGTATTAAAATCTGTATTTTGTTTGAAAAACACATTGGACAATGTTCCACAAAGCGATCGTATCACTTCGACTGCCGCAATTCTATGTTAAAGATTGGGTAGTCACGATCACCCCAGCGCTACCATACCAAGCGGATGTTCATAAACATAGCAGTATGTAAGAGGTAACGAAATGTCTAGAATAACAGCACCATATTCTTACCCATCCTCCACTACAAGTACATCACTGCCACTATGGTCACACGGGCTTGTAACGCCAAAAATTAGCATCAGCAGATTTCGGTTTCAAATGTAAAATCCCTCAATTCGTTTTCAAAAGAGACATTATAATTGCTTGTTTATTTACTGTTTGTGCTCAGGGATTTGTTTTCGCTTTAAGTTAGTGATGGGCGAGGTTGAGTTGGTGATGTCACATTACATATTGCGAATCAATGTTTATAATCATTAACTGTTGAAAGATAAACTATTTAAATATGTCTTGTATTAGTTGCTTTTTGTGATAAATTCATAAGACCGCAAACATAAATGCATTTGTCAGAAAAAAAGGTTAATCTCCACACACGTCCATGATATATTTGTAGCCAAGACTTGGTCTTGGGTGAAAAGTCGTTCTGAGCAAAGTAGCGAAATCTAAATGGGGCCAGGTATATTGCATGATCTTTGGCTTTCATTGGTTGAAGAAATGAAATATATTGACTGGATATTGAAATTAGGTGCATAAGGAAGGTGAAGTTTGTCCACTTGCTGCCTTTCTCCTAACCTGGCATGGTGGTTTGAAGGTCATGACTGGAAGGTGTTGAATTGGTGCAATACAAGCCAGCTACATCTGTTTTCATATAAAAGGAATAAATTACAATATGTTTAAGTATCGAACGGTTATTTGCATTTTGTGGGAGTATTATTTTATATAGCATGTATTTTATTTTATAATCACACGCACACACACACACACACGCGCGCACGCACACACACACACTAATATATATATATATATACATATACACACACAAAAGATTTCAGTTCTTAAAATGTAAAACATTGACCTGTTGTTTTTTTTGTCTTGAGTTGGCGACATAGAAACTAACAAGCTATTGACTCCTTGATATGTTTAAGGGACAATATCACACATTTTAGACAATATTTTGGCCAACATTATATATATTGGGGCATTGGCACTCATTTTAACTTCCTCTTGATGCAACAAATGACTTATTATCCCTTACGACTTGCTTGAAATCGATAATTGAAACTTCGAGGCAAACAGCTTCCAAACGGAGAACATTTGTCATATATGGAATGGAAAAAAGTGCTCCGTACACAGAAAACTGTCGCACGCGTTGTTGCCGGTGTTTGCCGAACTAGTTTCAATCACGAGTTGTGCGTAGCGTAGGATATCAGTAAAGTGCGCTCCGAGGGAGATAGCTCTATAGGGTTCGCTTGAAATAATGTTCGACTGGTAGAAGGCACGAGAGTCGATTTGATGCAACGTTGCATAATTCATTCGAACCTTTTAATTTAATATTGTAATCTAAATACGTAGTGTTTTTTTGTTTTTGTTTTTTTGTGTTTAATTGAGAGAAATGCATCATTTATTTTTAGAGAAGTGTGGTATGATATAGTTAGTGCCTTTAAAGTTGAAAAGTTGATTGGAAGTTCACAAGATGTTTCAGATCTTGCATCAACGACCCCGACAGCTGCCGTAAATTATACTCTTTACGGCATAATGAAAACCTGGAACGAGGCCCGTGCTGTTTGTGAGTCCCATGGGCAACAGATGCTGAAGCTGGATACGGAGGCCAAGCTTCTCAACTTCGTGGTGTGGAAAAACATCTGGATTGGCAATGGATTGATGTACGTAAAACAATTACTGAAACAAATCATGAATCTATATAGAATCGCACGTGTGAGTGAGTGAGTTAAGTTTTACGCCGCACTCAGCAATATTCCAGCTGTATGGCGGCGGTCTGTAAATAATCGAGTCTGGATCAGACAATCCAGTGATCAACATCATGAGCATCGATCTGCGCAATGGAAACCGATGACATGTGTCAACCGAGCCACCCGATCCCGTTAGTCGCCTCTTATGACAAGCGTGGGTTACTGAAGGTTCATCCTAACCCGGACCTTCACGGGTAGAATCGCACGGAGAACTACCAGTTGATGTTATCAAATTATGTTTTGTGCATGCTAGCTCACTTTCAACCCTTTGATTTAAAATCCACATAAGGAGATTCTCTTCTCCGTTAGGTTTGTGTGTTGATGTAGGGGTAAAAAGTGAGAAAGAAAATTCGCAAAAGGTTTTCACAAAAATACTCGTTCTCTAGAGAGGCTGAGTAAACATTACCAAAGCAGCTTTCGCTGAAACAAATGTGTGTGTGAACATCAAGGAAACCTTCCAAAGAGCCACCTTACCACTAAACAAATGCAACTCCTCTTCTTCAACCAAATTACGACAGGTTTGGGCATAAATAGGGGAGAACTAGCCCAGCCTGATCCTTTTAAATAAGATTGATATTGTCATGACACGTTGACATACAAATGGAAATCAAGAAAGCGTTATGTTTTTAGAGTGAAAATTACGATCAATGACATGGATATTACAGAACCGTCGATATGTGGACTGGATTACACCAACATGTACTCGCAGACCCTAATGTGTTCAACTTGGAGTGGCATGACTGTGAGCCACTTGGAGCCTGGGTGCCTTGGTATCCGTTTGAACCGAACAGGCCAAACAGTGAGAAGTGCGTACGGATACCTTATGATTCGAACCAGTACCGCACAACAGCATGTCATCTTAACCGTCACGTGGTTTGTCAAGAACCCGCAGGTATTGAAATACGTGAGCAGGTTCCAGGTCTAATGGTAATTTTGAAGCTCCTCACAACTCAATGCAGCCCTAACGGTAAAGTGGCTTTGTCAAGAGCTAGCAGGTATGGGGATGCGCAACTCCACGCAGCCCTAACGGTAAAGTGGTTTTGTCCAGAGCTCGCAGGTATCTGGATGCGCAACTCCATGCAGCGCTAACGGTAAAGTGGTTTGTCAAGAGCTTGCAGGTATGGGGATGCGCAACTCCATGCAGTGCTAACGGTTAAGTGGTATGTCAGGTAGGGGGTTGAGATCCAGGCCAAATGATACTTGTAAATCTCTGCACAACTACATGTATTGACAACCATCATGTGGGTTGCCAAGAGCCAGCAGGTATCGGTGATAACACAATGGCTTATACTGGAGCAAAGGCAGCACTTATATAAAACCGGAATAAAGTAACTGTGCTTTACATTACAGCATGTTTAACATAAACCGTTAAAATTACGTAATACATTTTCATTTTTGGAGGACAGAATCGAAACAAAGGCAGTAGAAGGATATTTTAACAGATAATTATTTTGGGATATATTGTTTTCTTAAACCAGCATAATGTGGGCATACAAAAGCGAAGTGAATTTCGTCTTCTATAGCCGAGTTACATAATGGACATACCCTTAAACTTCTCTCTATTGAAAATCGTCTGCCTATATTTACTGATAAGTCTAAAAAGCCCAATCGAAAATTGAAAAAATATCTCTGGATGTCAATACATATATGTTGATATATGATGCGTATATGAAACGGGATCCTGGGTCTGAAGGAAATCCTCCTCTCGATGCCATATTGTATGACTCACCCGATATCGCCAACTAAATAATGATGTGTGTCTTGGATGTGTTTTATGTGTTCACCAGATGAATGTACCTTTGAAAGATTTGATGATCAGGACGTTGTTCTCCTTACCTCTGCCGCCTCCATTAATGTGTGTATTGATGACTGCCAGCGCGCATGTCTCACACATACCGGAAGTGGACAGTGCGTTGCCATAGTCTACGACAGCGACATCACATCGGGCGACCCCTGCAGGATCTACACTAGGCAGCAGGTGTACATAAACGAAAAACCGGAAATGACGTCATCGTCTGGCAGAACAGTTCTCGTGAAGCGGTGTGTTCAAGGTACATATACACGAGAAGGTCCAGATCTGCCAAAAGACTTCCGTCATTTCGCGGGAATACAACAACGTTTAGCAAGAAACAAACGCTCAAATAATTATGACATTTCACTGACACTCCGAACCATATGTAATCCAATTTTGATATTATTTCAGAATGATCAAAATATGTCCCAACTTCTAAACCAATTAATTATTTTAGCGTGGAGTATGCAATCATGAGCCTTACCGAGATTTGCTATTAAGGAAAAAACCCACCTTTTGTTTTATGTCATGATAAAATTTATTTCAGGTGATTACATGTCCACTGCTGTATCGGTTCCAACAAACACAGAAATTGACCCAATAACCGCGTGCCCTGTCACAACTGAGACGTCATCAACATCTACTATGACGTCAGAACCGATCTCCGGATCATCTACATGTCCAGGTGCAACTGTGGATATTCAACTATCTATTTTAACCAACACTCAATCAAAGACCATATATTCAGCATATGCAAGTATCAGTGAGGGTGATCCTGTGTACCCAAGTGTATTTACATCCGCAAATATCTTTCCTGAGACGAACTCATTGACGTCCCGTTCAGTGAATTCTCCTGAGACATCCGTCATAGAGACTGAAGGTTCTTCCAAATCACATTCTACATCCACAAGTCGCATGTACTCAGTCGCTGTTTCAATGATTTCCAGTTCTGTGAAGACATCCGTCATTGAGACCGAATCTATCGAATCACATCTGACATCCACAGTGACATCAAATAAGCTTACTCCTATCAGCCTGTATCCATCCACCTCGTCTGGGGGTTTCAGAGACAGTACATCACACAATTTGTATTTGAGTATCGATCATCTGACGTTAATCGCTGACGGCACAACGACCAAAACAGCTTCTGTGTCGGAAGTTGTACACTCGGAAACTTTAACGATGACCATGTATGTATCGTCTCAAATCACCACGTTGCCTGATGTTGTTGGTACGGCATCATCTGAGGACACAAGACCTACATCAACTATTGTCAGCGATCCTCTGGAGCCGGAGTCAAGCACACAGGTTTCCAACCTTGATCTGGATCCATCTAGCGTGGCACCAAGTACTGGTAAGAATCTTAACAATTGCCAGTTGATGTTAATAAAGAAGATGTGCGTAATAAAATGGAAATCGACTTGAAGTTTGCTTTTTAAAACAGGAATTATTGAAAATAGGGCAAAAAATATCATATTTGAGTTTTGTCAATATATTAATCACTACTAGTAAACTTAAAGCTGATACAAATATCCTCTTAGAAAATATACATTGATTGCGCTTCTTCTGTTGGCGAAAAGGATAACACATAAGGCAACAGTTAAATACTTTGAAAATAGATGTGTTTGTTTCTGAAGATATCAATTTACCCAGGTCCACCTTCCCCGAAAGAGCGCCACCGTGTTTGCGTATGCATGCACCCTCTGACGTCGATGACAGTCGACGTCGGTGGCAATATCTTGGACCGAAAGAAAATATCCTCCTACAGAAGGTCCAAGACTTCGGCCAGAGATGATCGTGTTTCGGCCAGAACTATCGGCGCTTCAGGACTTGCCATCATCCTAATCGTCACAGTGCCCATCGTTTGTGTAGATGTGGACATGATGATACGAGCGACGGGGCGATGCAGAAAACGTCAAGCGCTTTGAATGTTTAGTTGTATGTGTTGTAGAAGCGGAATAAGCTTTGAGTGTATTCCATACTACTTAGCACACAGTCAAAACACCGTTGTATCGAAGTTGAGGTAACTGCATCGAGTCATCCGAAGTTCGGCTGAACCACCAGGTGAGCTTGGCATACGTTAACTGATTCACACTGAGAAGCACAAATGCAAACGAGAAAATGAAACTAATGCCTATTGATTTAATGGAAAAATGACTTAAGCGACCACCGTAACCACCTCAGAGATCAAAGTAACGAAGTAATGCGCAGGTACCAAGTATTTACTTTGAGACAAGCGGCATTTCAAAGGTCGACACAAAGGTGCATATATTTATCGGGTATATTTTGGAAAGGGAAATCCGATTTCGTATAACTACAACAAGAATACTGCCACATAAGTGACAGATTTAAAAAGTTGATGATGGGAATATACAGCATTGCTTCTAATACACATTGCCTCTACGAGGTACTCTTTTAAATGAAATTTATAAACTATGTTTTGTTTGGTTAGCTCAGTCTTCAAAAGCTTTTACGACTCAGTGTATAATCTTCTTTCTGTTTTCTGCTTCGTTAATTTGATTACAAAGATCCGGGTTAGAATTTTCTTCAGTAACCCATTTTGTCATAATAGACGAATAACAGGATTGGGTGGTCAGGCTCGCTGACTTGGTTGCCAAATGTGATCGTATTACAATTGCGCAGATCGTTGCTCATGCTGTTGATCACTGGATGGTCTGTTCCACATTGGATTATTTACAGACCGCCGCCACATAGCTGGAATATTGCTGAGTGAGGCGTAAAACTAAACTCACTCACTCACTATAATCACGTCTTTACCGGACAATCCAGTGAGCGTTGATGAACATAAGCCTGATACAATGATATGAATTCAGCCAGGCTTTCAAGTATATTAGTCGTCTCTGTAAGACAAACGTGGTTTCATCGGGATCAATATTCTCATCCTTGATCATGCTGTTGATCACTCGATTGTCTGTTCCACACTCGATTATTTACAGACCGCTGGAATATAGCTGAATGTGGCGTTAACGAACAACCCAACCAACCAACTAATATGATTATAAACGAATGTTATCGCAATTCGCAATTTTGAAGAGCTTGATGGTTATTCATTCTTAAGTGGCACTTCTGGCCAACAGCTAGGTGACGAGGTATGCCCATTTGTTAAATAACCACACTTTTTGCTAAACGTCCACTACAGTGACGCCACTGACACAATGTTCAAAACAAAACCCCTCACCATTTCAAAGATATTTAATGAGATATTTTCATGTTCAGCTGTGTATTAAAACGCTGCTTGCCAGTATGGGTAAACAAAACGACAATCGAATATTATAATATCTTTTGTTTGTGTTCAGCAACTTGTGAATTTTGTCCCAATGTAGAAAATATATGTATATATGTTCACATCTATGCCAGCTGTATGTATTGTTTGTAATTCTGTTTGATTAAAAACAAGTGTTTCTTCTTAACCGTATACTTATCTCATAGAACAACAGACTATATCTGTCTTGCATGTGTCACACGTAACCAATGATTTCAAAGATAATCTTATTTAAACACTTGTAAAATATATATTATAAGATGTCATATATGCCATTAGTAACCCTAATTTCTTGATGTTATGTGTTTAACTGTAAATATGCAACTAATTCCTGAAATAGATAATTGTTCGGAATGAAAATATTTATCTTTTATCATGAAACGGGAGATCTCGAGAGCCTTTTGTGTCAACATTGAAGGCTAGCATCGCGCTTTTGTTTTATTTCTGGAAAGAGAATGCTTTGTGCCCATTATCTTAAACCTGTTTTACATGTGGACACCAAAGGCTTGAGCTGCCGGAATACTGTTTCACATAAAGGGAAAGTTTCACTAGGTTTTCATTCCTAGTTTAAGTGCTTAATTATCAAGAGGGAATTGGCTAATGAATGTGGAAAAGATTTTGTTTTATTTACAAAGGTACCGTTTGAAAGGTGCCAGATTTTCGATATATATGACGCTCAAGTCTTTGCCAAATATAACCAAACATAAACTGCTGTACTTAAAGGCCCACTGAGGATTCAGATTTAGAACAGATCCTCATAAACCGATGTTAGTCGTACGAAGCGACTGAGTTCATCGGATTATCAGACTCGGTGTTTTAGTCTGTACTATCAGTCACTGGACTGACTTGTCCAGAATAAATATTTACCGACAGTTGTCAAACAGGTGGGATATTCTTGAATATTTTTGTGACAACGTGTACTCAATAAGGTTTATTTGACAAGTTAAACGAAACACAAACAAATGGATCATGTCACAAGGGTTGCCTCTGTTGCTTTGGATAACAACAAATGTTTTCAATCCAACATGTATTTCAATATTTATCTGAGCTGTAGTAAAAAAGCAGTGTGAATGGCGCCCAATACATTGATTTAAGTTATGAACGTTATCCGATCAAAGGCCAGCATCATATGCAATGACTCTAAGCAAATATCAGGTTTCAGTAAACTATTCTTACAGTTCGGTAAATTGGAAAATCAATTGTTGTTGATAGACAAATATGGGAGCTCTTCAACTGTAAATAATCGAGTCTGGATCAGACAATCCAGTGATTGCCATCATGACCATCGACCTACGCAATGAGTATATGATGACATACATCAGCCAGGTCATTGATATCGGCCACCTTATCGCTTTAGTCGCCGCTTACGCTAAGCGGGAGTTGCTGAAGATCAGATTTAACCAGGGTTCATCACATCACTAACATAATATCGTCATTCTATTAAACTCGCCTTAAAGACAATTATCACAGAAGGAAAATTAGCAGGCTTTGAGAATTCGTTGACACTGAATAGCAGATGTCCGCCTTGTGAAACAATGCATGTTTATTGTTCAAGCCGTTCTGCATATAATCGCGTCGACCCCTGAAAGTCCGGGGTAGAATGATCCTTCAGTAACCCATGCTTGTCGTTAGAGGCGACTAACAGGATCGTGTGGTCAGGCTCGCTGAATTGGTTGCAACATGTTCTCGGTTCCCAATTGCGCAGATCGGTGCTCATGCTGTTGATCACTGGATTGTCTGGTCCAGACTCGATTATTTACAGACCGCCGCCACATAGCTGGAATATTGCTGAGTGAGGCGTAAAACTTAACTCACTCACTCACTATAATCACGTCTTTACCGGACAATCCAGTGAGCGTTGATGAACATTAGCCTGATACAATGATGTGAATTCAGCCAGGCTTTCGAGTATATTAGTCGTCTCTGTAAGACAAACATGGTTTCATCGGGATCAATACTCTCATTCTTGATCCCTGCATATGAATGATGTCCAATCTGTTAATAATAATATCACTAAAACACATGAATGTTAAAATGTCTTGCTGGATCCAAAATGTTAATAAAGCAAGATTCCCTCGAGATAACACATCTCAGTTCCACACACACACACACACAATTACTACCCGTCAGAATCGAACATGCAATCGATCAACCAATATATACTGTCAACCTATTGCTGTATGAACAACATGTGAGATACTGTCTCATCCCGGCTCGGTCAATGCTGAGTGTAGCACTGAAACCCCAGTCCTTCCGTTTACTGCTATCACAGTGGATCAACAATTCTTGGGTTCACTGTCAGGTAGGTGTATTGTCTTCAAAAAACATGTTTACTACAGTCGAACCTCGCTTATCCGGACGCTATCTTTTCTCATATTTTGTCAGGACATACAGATTTTCGTACATCTGAATCTCGACAGATATTGCTTTCTTTTCTTAATATATTGTCAACAATTCTTTTCCTTTGTGAAAGATGACTACTTTTCGTTAAAGTAATAAACTTAGACATACACAATCTGAAGTTCGATGAATAAATCTAAATTTTTTGCCATCCATGAAAATTATTCAAGAATCAATCCGTTTTCTAACATAGCACACACTCTGATCTGGATGGCTTTTATGACGTCCGACGGCAGATGCGTCATTATTTCTCCTTCAGTGTGGAAACATAAAATTTCAATGTACTTTACATGTACAATATGATGTACAATAAATGTTACAATAAGATGATGCTAATCGATAAAAATGGACACACAAATTGGGTTTCTTCTGTTAGAAATTTGTTTTTGTTTTTGTATGGAACGAACAGTATGTTGATTCTGAGAGTAAGTTTATTTTAGAACTAACACGAAGATTAAAAGATATCTATTTGCAAGAATGGTTTGAAAAGTTATCACTTTCCAGTAAATGTTTGTATTATAAGTTGTTTAAATGTACTTTTGACGCCGAAATTTATCTTTCATGTCTAAACGTAAAAAAAGTATAGGATAGCGTTAAGCAGATTGAGATGTTCTTCACATAATTTATTTATCGAAAGTGGAAGATTCAAGAATGTCAAAAAAGAAAATAGAACTTGCAAACTATGTGATCTTAACCAAATTGAAGATGAATATCATTTTCTTTTAATTTGCCCTGTTTATAATTCCCTGAGAAAGTTGCATATTAAGAAATATTATTGTGCCCGTCCAAACCTTTATAAATTTCCAGCATTGTTAAATAACAAAAAAACATATCACACTTCAAAACTTGTCCATGTTTGTAAACTATGCTCTGTTGTTTAGGACAGAATATATCTCAGAACTCAATGTAACCTACAGTTGACTATTTTCTCTTCTTCATGTATATTACATGTGCGTGTAAATATTGATTTATAAATGTGTTGTACTACAGGCCCGTAGCCTTTCAGTACCAGAAATATATGATTAGAATGTACGTGTGCATAGGTCGCGATAAGGGATGTTGCAACCGTTTGTCTGCTTTTATTACGTTCAAAAGGCAGGTAAGTCATTGTTTCTCCTTCAGTTTGAGAACATAAAGTTTCAATGTACGTTACTTGTGCAATAGGTCTCGATAACCGTTTGTTTGATGTTGTATGTCTTGTATCATTCATTGTCTTGTAAGAGAAGAAGTGTTGTAACGTTTTCTAGCAAACAAAATTATATAATAAGCATTTCCGCTGGTTGTAATAACAACTATAGTTTTCGTCCGCAGTCAGTAGAATAAGAACGTGTTTAATAATAATAACATAATTTAGTGTCCAAGCTTATGAACGTTCCGATACGATAGAATTGGGAAATTCTTGAAACCTGTGATACATTCCACATGCTTCCAAACATAGTTTCCTAAAATTACCAGTTTTTGTCCATTTGGTGGAACATCCTCAACTCCCTGTGCAAGCCATGCATATCCAAGACCCAGTTGAAACAGTGGATTTTTTATACTGAGTCAAAAAAGAAACTTCACAAAATGTAATTTGAAAAATAATGAATAATTTTTCTCTGATGATACATCTATGTATCCGAAATGGGATCCCTATCTTTCGACTCTAGAAAAACGATAGCAAAACCCACTCAAACCCATCCATTCGTCGTGCAAATGACGTTGGTGCCAAATCAGGTTTTGCACGTGCAGTCGATCACGTGATCTTCGCATGGAAGTTTTCTTCATATGCACGTGTTTGCATTGGCCTCAAGAATTGATAAAACACTTTTAAACCACAGTTCTAACGGTACTTGAAATGCCACGATTGTCAAATGTGCAACGTGAACGTGCCGTTGGCATGTTGCAAGCGGGAAGATCAGTTATTGACGTCGCAAGAGCAATGGGATGCAGCCGTCGTACTGTGTATGACTTGCGAGGTCGTCTACAACAAACTGGCACCACTTCTGATCGCCCAAGGTCGGGTCGTCCACGTGTGACGTCACGAGCAGAAGACCGTCAAATCGTCCTACGTCACCTACGTGACAGATTTCTGCCGGCTACACGAACCAGGGCTGAGATGTTTAGAGATCGACTGTCCTCACAGACCATTCGAAATCGGTTGCGGGCTGCCAATCGACATTCTCGACGTCCATATCTGTGGGCCCAACGTCACCTCCGATGGACCCAGTGAGACTGGAATCGAGTCGTCTTTAGCGATGAATCCAGGTTTACCCTCAGATTCGCGGACGGCAGGCATAGAGTCTAGAGAGGACGTCGTGAACGGTATGACCAATGTTGTGTACAGGAAGTCGACAGATTCGGGGGCGGAAGTTGCATGGTGTGGGGGTGCTTTCTGTGGGAACAACCGTTCCCGACTTCTGGTCATCCGTGGAAACCTCACAGCTGCTGCTTACCGCGACCAGGTGCTCACCCCTGAACTCGTTCCTTTCATGGCGGTTCATGGCCCAGGTCTACAGTTCCAGCATGATAATGCTCGGCCGCATACCGCGATGTTGACACGAAATTTCCTTCAAAACGCTGGAATCAACGTCATGGACTGGTCATCGAGGTCCCCTGACCTTAATCCAATAGAGCACCTTTGGGATGCACTTTGGAGAAGGCTTCGTGGTCTTAGGAACCAACCTCAGAATATGCAGGAACTTGGCGCTGCCTTGCAAGAGCAATGGCGCAGAATCCCCAACCACGTGTTCACAAGCATCAGGCAGTCGATGAGGAGACGGTGTTTGGCAGTGGTGAATGCGCGGGGCGGCCATACACGATATTGAACTGAGAAATTTCGCATTTTTATTCTTGTGACTTGACATTCTGTATACCCATGTTTTTGAACGGTGGTGTAGCCTAATGGAACTGATTATGGCACTGTCAGTGTATCGAGTACATCACACAGATCTCAGAAATGAAATAATAACAATTTAACCATCTTACCATCTCTTGTTCTTTTATAGTGCCCTGAAGAAAGAATGTGAAGTTTCTTTTTTGACTCAGTATATTAACACATCCCAGTTGTGTTTATTTCTAGCTTCACTCGCATTTTCATCAAAATATAATAACATCTTTGATGTTTAGCGGCGGTATTTAATAAATACCAAAACTTTTGTCTGTTGACAGAATCGAACAGAATCAAACATATCACTTGGTGTTGGCAAGTCACACTGATTAAACATGATGTAATCATCGAACGATAGATCGTTGATGGAGTTATTCAGGTTTTCAGCAAACAGGTCCCTAAAATAGCATCATTCAAATCAAGTAGCTGCTTATCGTCATGATTGCGCATGCCTGTCTTACAAGCTCATTTGTATGCATTTTCACTTGTTACATAAGCTACTAGAGACTCCTCATCTTTGCCTTTTCGATTTTTAAAAGAAAAAACAGCGCTGCTGCTTTAAAGATTGACATTTATTGTTTAACCAATTATGGGCATTGCAATTATGTAACAACCCGCTTCATACAATCAGCTGATATCAAATAGTACGTTTATTTAATTTGGTTTACATTAGTGTTTTTCTCAGCAGTTTATACGAAACTTTTTACGTTCTTATAGTAAAATGTTTAGTGATAAATACGCCCGGATTAACGATAGTTGACACAAGTATTAGAGTCAAGAGACATTTATTACAAAAGGCATATAAAACCCACCCTGCTAGCACATGCTCCTGTTATCGATACTTTGATCAATATCGATCTTGCAAGATATCTTGTATTGCTTGCTCGTGTTGTGATTGGAGCAGTTCTCATAGCCCTTGGCGTTATTCATTACATCAATGTACCAGTTTATGACAGATAGTCAGATGCATTTCTGTAATTGTAAGCCGTAGTCCCATAATACAAAATGCAGGCACATTGGTAACATCATATTGTACATGCTTAAGTATTAGTGCTGTGAATATAATGAATAAAACATTGTAATATCAGATTTGCTTTCTTACTTTCTTTATATGACAGAGGAGACGGCCAAGACAAATTCATGTGTATTTGTTGTTGCAAGAAATTAGGCTAATAAAGTTATCAAAACCTGTGGTTAACAGTGTTTTGTACAAGTGTACATGGACGGAGGCATTCTTGTCTAATATCTTCACATATTTACAGAACATGAAATTTATCCTCGACCAAATGTAACCCATTATTATAACAATAAGAACAAATCCTGTCAGCATAACTGATGTTTTTATGCCTACACAACTCCCGCTAAACGGAAATTACTACACCTAAATTGAGAAATAACATGATTGTAATAATATGGAATATCTGCACTTAAGTGTCTTTCTACATTCAGCAATGACTTAAATTTACAATAAACATAACATTTTGATGAATTAGATACTATGGAATGCCAATCTTGACATAAACTAACAAACAACCTTTGTTTGAAAGTGATCATTAATAAATTTACATTACCTACGTCTTGGGATAACCATACAATACCAAAACCAAACTGATACAAAATTTGTTTAACAGATGTAACCCAATTATTTCTACCAGCTTCATCCAATAACATAAGCATTTGATAACAGTGATACGGCAACCTATGAGTATTTAACTGAAGCAATCTACACCAATATTTAGCACATCTAGACATATACTGATATTGCAATGGAACTCTGCCACATTCACCTAGCGCCATAACATTGCTTGTATGTTTACTAACTTTCAAAAAACCTTTTACAGAAGTATATTTGCAAACTTTTGATCTGTTTACAATACGAAGTACCTCAAATCTCTGTCACATAAGAAAGGATAGGACAAATAGCTGCATCAAAAATTTTAAATATATCTAGACACGAAATTTCTCCAAATTTATTTTGATAATTATACAATGCCATACAAGCTTTCTGTGCTTGAGCAGAAAGACAACACTGAGCCTAATCCCATGTGAGAGAGATGGTGTAAACACACCACCTAAGTATCTTTATACATTTACTACCTCTATTTTCTCGCCCTTAAACAAACACTCGATATAGTGGCAAAGAGGACAACCTTTACGAAAAAACCATATTTTTTAATTTAAATTAATACTCATGCCTCAAGCACATTTATCTTTCTCTAACTGCACTGCTGTGTCAGATAAAAATGACACATCATCTGCAAACAAGAGGGCTGCAACACTGGGGAATTCGTTTTGAAATAAAGAGACCATTACCACAATTACTATCAAACATTTGGGATAACTGATTTATGAAGATTACGAAAGGCAGCGGACTTAAGATACAACCCTGACGGTGTCCGATATTACATTTAAAACACCTGGATATATAGACCCTGATCTGTCCTAACACAAGCAGATAAATTGGAATACATAGAGACAATTAAATTAAGAAATTTCCCTTTAAATGTTAATTAATGTTAATTTAATGTTAATTAGTCTTTTAAATAATACTGCATGGTCAACACTATCAAAGGCTTTTTAAAGTCTACAAATATACAATACACTCTACCACCCTTTTTTAAAACATCGCTTGTGAAGAAAATAGTCTGGCCGAAAACCAGCCTGGGTTTTGAATAGGAGAGAGTATATATCACTCCAAGTTTGAAGTTTTTACTTTAGAATAGCACAGAGCACTTACAGAGATTCTTCTATAATTATCAGCATGTATGAACATGCGCTTCAGACCCGCAATAGTACCCCTCAACCTTTACAGTTACGTGAGCACCGTTAAGATTACTGTCAATGGATTAGACGTGACAACCCGTTAAATAGATAATGGATGGGGTCTTTTATCTTTTCGGATGCGATAATTAAATTTGACAACAGTCTGATACTATTGAACAATAAACGCGGCAAAACCATATTCTCAACCTTAAGAAATATCTGCTGTTGGTCGTTACGGCTTCAAGCACAGATCAATTTTGGTCGTCATGCTATTGACGTTATTAAAGTACAAAATGATAAATATCAAACTTCTACTTCAATCCGATCGAGAGCACCCTTTCAGATATTTCATTACCACGTCATGAAAAACGTCCAAATATCTATCAAAGTTTTTTAATCAATTCATTTTCATGAAAAAACAAATGGGAGATCGATTGTGATTGCAAAATCAACGCATGTACAACGAACGAACATGTTACGACCGGTGGATGTTTTTATTGAGTAGAAGCGACCAAACCCCTTCCACATTCACGTTGTATAATTGCAATGAAATTACATGTTTCTTTAAAACAAACTTATCGATATTTCATTATTCAGAACGTCAATGAAATGGGTCGATACTTTGAAGGATCAGTATGAACAGTACGCCATATAGAAGGGGATTTTGAAGATCTGGGGTAGACTTGGTCTTCAGCAACCCATGCTTGTCGTAAGATGCAACTGACGGGATCGGATGGTCAGGCTCACTGACGTGGTTGACACATGTCATCGTATCCTAATTGCATAGATCGATGCTCATGTTGTCAATCACTGGATTGTTTGTTTCAGATTCAATTTTTTCATATAAATGGAAAATTGTTGACTCTTTTACATTCAGAAACTTTCAAAAAATGTTACATAATCATTGTGTATTTTGTACCCGATGTTATCACTGCTCTCAGATTTGATATTCTCAGCTGAAGAATATTCGTCACAAGTAGTTTTGAACGAGTTATCAATACATCACTGTGAATAACACTAGGGTGGGTATTGCAGAGAATTTTCACATTGCCATATATTGCGATGCGAAAGCATGTATTGCAATATGTATTGCAATATAATGCATGAAGTATTTTTAAACAAAAAAATACTTATAATCGAGGTAAAGCTTGATTTATAGAGCAAATACACAGCAAAATCCCTATGCTTCATTAAGCTTTAATAATAAATTTTATTCATGATTAAAAATAAAAATGTGAATAATATTTGGCACAAATGAAAAAAGAAAATATCCGAAGATTTCCGAGTGTTACGAAGTTTTCCGAATGCAAGTCAAAATACCGGTTTTCGATCAGCGTATCGCAATACTTAACGTTTTCATGTCTGAACCGGTAAATACCGGTAAACCGGTTATATTGCGCAGCCCTAAATAACACTCTGACAGAATTCAGTGTCGTGTTAAAATGGTCATCTTAAACTCAAAAATACACATGTTCGAAGGTATACTTGTTAGTGTAATTGTAAACAGAACAGGGGACGAACCAGTTATTAATCACGAACTTCTCCGCTCCAGCATTTGTACACGTTTAGTGGATTGTTGGTATTTTGAAGACTCATAAATATTAAAAGTGCAAAATAAGACCTGGGGCTACACATTTTGAAGATGAGCTATAAATTGGGTAACCCACCTTCTGCCAACAAGATAAATTCCATAAATGACGACTTGAGCGAAATGTTTAGAAACTGGTAAGGAAATTATGACAAGAGGTTACATATGAACGAGAACTTAACTTCGTTCATTTTAACCATGTACGCAGTTACGCAGTGCACAATCTATTCGGTTAACAAAGACTGGAGCTGCTAAAAGATCAAACAGTTTATTGAACTAGCGTGAATATATGAAGAGCATGCTTACACCTCGAAAAGTGGCAACGGTTAACACCAAAGGCTGGAAATGCTGGATAATTGCTTGACATAAAGGTTAAGTTGACAATTGGAAAGATAAAGTCATCTTTTTTTTCACTTTTTGTTCCAATGATTCTAAAAAAATATCTAAGAAATATGCATAAATGAAACAGATGAGGTGGTCTTATTGGTCTCCTTTGTTCGGATTTGTATGCGTGAAGAAACGGCATGAAGGAGTACGCAGCTGGTGGCCATAGGGATGCATAATGTCATTTCCAAAGTCTTACACAGAAACCTCTAATTAAAGGTTGATATTTAACTGCTTCTATGGTTAAAGAGGAATATCTATGTACAAAATGAATAGAACACGTGGATTGTGTACTGGCGGGAAACACGTGATACAAATATTTCTTAAGCGGATGCCTACTGTGTTGTTCATGTCCGCTGTAAATTCAGCGGTAACTGTGCCACATTCTGCAGCCGATGCCCATACACCACGACATTCTTACACGTCTGTTGAATGCCAAGCAGACATCTGCGTTAAGACCGTGAAATGTTCTAGATTTTCCCCAAACAGGCTCACTATATATCCCGATCATGATCTTGTTGTCCCTCGTATACCGTCGTAAATGCCACCTAGACATATTCCAGAACCAATGGACCACATAGAGAATACTACGCGAAGTCTCATTACATACGAATGATACGATACGAGTGTCCTTCCCATTTTATCTGACCGAACGAAAGCGAGGTCAGAAACCATGGGAAGGTCACGAGTTTCGTAATGAGACCGAGCGTGGTATTTTATTTATTACACACTTGCATACATTAAATTGACAAAATAGCGTATTTTTGTTATTTTTATGGTTTAAACCCGAAACCGGTTTCATAAAGAGGTTGCGGCAGAATTTTGTTCTGTAGTACACTTTTAGCATGACGTCACACTGTATTGACGTCACTACGCCATTCTCGTCTGCCCCCATGGTAACCGACGTCACGATGCATGTCAGTTGTCATCGCCTCGTACAGCCTCTTACATTAAACTACTCCCTAGCACCCCGTTCCTTGGTTTGCAGTTGCTTCACTCGCCTAACATCACTGGTGGAAACTTTATGTTTTTCGACGTTTATGGTTTTTCGACGGATATAACGTCGCAGTTAGATTAACAATTAAACAGCGATTCGGCAACGATCGCAATATTTCCATTCCCACAATGAATACAAGTTGTAGAATGAATGAATTCACGTGTTTGTTATGAATGGACAAGTAGTTCCGTCACAACGGGACCTAATTTAGAGTTCATCGATTATCCAATCTAATCGTTAGAATCTCAGGTCAAGTCGTCACGACACAGGTCAACGCGATACGACGCTCGTGTGACGTACGAGATTAGTATGCAACTACCCATACGTTTACCACGTGGATAATAAAAAATCTTACAACACTTTTAAGATCAATTTGAAAGTCTTGGATACAATGAATGTCGCAGTTGATCATCTCCGTGCGTCATTCGCTGTGGGCTATGAACAGTTCCCATGGAGTGCCTTCCCATGTAACACTAGTTATCCACCAAACTTTGTCAGCAACCATGTCATCTGCTGCAGTCGATACCAATACACATAGAATTTCTCACAAACACCCTATCTGACGTTCTACCTTCATTCAGCTGTTTCAAAGGCCAGCTGCTCTCAATTCACATCAGTGTGTGCTCACAAACTACAACTTAAGCTGTTCCGGTATACTGGTGAACCAATTCAGCTGTTTTCACATCCACATTCATCAGCAAATTCACACATCCATAAGCTTTCATTGTTTGAAAGTGATAGCAAACAGGCCAGAAACGTTGCAAAGAAGGTAGAGAGGTATTTCGGCCCAAATCCTGTTTATTTGATTCAAATAACGTCACAAGACACGACATACTTTCAAACAGATTTATCGTCATTCATGGGGTAGTTATGTTTGCAATATCAATTTCTGTGCACCTTCAACAAAGGTGTCAAACATGATCCAAAGAATTGGCACCGAAGGCTCAAGCACTAGTTTGCATCATCTAATGGCAGATGATCATTTCATAGAATATAATTCAGAATCTTTAGCGGAACATTCGTCTTCCTGAATTTAAGAAAGATCAGTCTTAAAGACGACGATTTATTTATTTGTCTCTGAAATGGTGGTCCTTGGCCACCCCAATGACACGATAGCTAGAGCTGATAATATTCACTTCAGCCCTTGATGCATTTGCCTGAATACTGTTTTTGCAATACTTTAAGAAATAACTGACAAAAGGTGTCAAATTTCCCCTTTTTTTGTATGGTGCCAGTCAATTACCTGCAAGGATAATTCAGACCCATCCAGTTATAGGCCTGGCTCATTAACTGGCTATATTTGCACATAGGACGAGCCGTCCCCAATCGATTGGTGTGGTGTTTGGAAGCTTGTTATCTGACTGTCTGATGCCTTTTCCGCAGAAATAGACGTGGTATGGACCATATGCTTCATTGTACACGTTTATATAAACTTATTTTGTTAAGAAACATCATCCTAGAACTAACAAAATTTCTGGATTTTAACTTCTTTATTGCTGTGAAGTTGTCATTCCATAAATCATTTGATTCCCACCGTTGATCCAAAGGTGAAGACGACGTTTTAAGTGCCATTGCCAATGGATAAACACTACTGGAATCCTAGATAGTAGCACCACTTTCTTTGCTGTGGCTGAAGCTATTTTATGAGCCTTGGACTTTATTCAGAACAGTATGACTTTTTCAAATCACATTTATGCTTTCAAGCCCATAACAGCGTTACCTTAAATCATCCATATATACTTGACATAAACCATCATCTTTTGTTGTTTATGAAACCTTATCGACACAGTTAGTAATACGAAAGCAGACGTTGCTGCTGTTTCTAAAATTCAAATTTCATAATGTGTTTCAAGGTAGGTTTTAACAAATTTTGTTAACTTAATTTTCTCTATTCTCTTAATATTCTTAAATCATTAGTGGTTATCTTTACTGTGAATGAAGCACCAGTTACGTTTTATATCTAGCTTCGGCTTTTTGTCTTTAAATGGACTGGTATAAAAATAAGCTAATCAGTCAGATTGTTTTCAACATGTGAAATCAGCGTACAACGCTTTCACAGAATGAATGTTTAAAATACAACTTAACCTGGAGGAAATTTGTTAAAATAGTGAGAATTTCTTGACATTGTTGAAGACATATGTTGCAGCTTTAGGTTGACAGGAGACTGTTTTTTATCATTTGGAGAATTGGGAAGCTTTCATAGTTCGCTGCTCTACTAATATCACTGACTTATCTATATAGTTAAAATAGCCAGAAGACGACATTAAATTAAACCCACTCACAACATTTTTAGTTTTGGGAGAGTAAGATTATCTTTATTTTAACTGATAACCGATTTATCCACCAGGTACAGCAAACGTCAGACGTCAACTAGCCGACACATCTTATATTTTATTCAAGTATGCCAACATTAAAGGCGATAACGATCTTCTCCCTGGCAGCGTTCATTGGTAAGTTTGAGACTAACCGTTGAAATTGGGTGTCGTAAGTATCATGTCTAATTGATGCATGGTGTTTGGCCAGGATCATCCACGATTACCAGCTGTGTTAAATCTGAATTCTATTTGATGAACACCTTTGAACCTGTTCCACAAAGCGATGCTAACGTATTGGGATCACCCTAGCGATATAACGGACCAGGACCCATTCGACACAATACCTCCGTTTTGGAAATACGTATTTTTAAATGACTCGCAAAGTAGGAACGATGGCCTCTGGTGGAACCTGCAATGTCCGCCGTGAATTGGGACTTCCCAGTTCCCAGTGAAACCTTGAAAAACATAAATTCATTGGCCGACAGTGACAATCCTGCCGCCTATATCAAACTGTGATGATAGAAGTAAGATGGCATATCCTTCCGGATTTGTTAAAACGAAAGTCCGATTGAGACTGAAAGAGCACCTGATGTTTCAGATTTTGCAACAACGACACCAACACTGTCAATAAAGTATACGCTTTACGGCACAACGAAAACCTGGAACGAGGCCCGTGCAGTTTGTGTCGAATGGTCAGCAGATGCTGAAGTTGGATACTGAGGCCCGGTTTGATAACTTCATGGCGTGGAAAAAACACCTGGGAGGCCAATGGACAACTGTACGTAATATATATATATATCTATTTTAAACATATACTGAAGCCCGGTTGATGAGTAATCAGGGACTCTTTCCAAAAGGGATCTTAGCATTAAGACAAATACAAATATATGTCCTATTCATGAACACTTATGACGAGAGTCGTAACACTAAAGTTGCTTTGTGGGACCGTTCCGAAAATTGTCGGATGCTTAAATCAATATTTCTTATTATAAATGCCTTTGTGAAGTTTTAAGTATATTACGATCAATAACATGGCCATGCAGGACCGAAGATATATGGACTGGATTACACCAACATGTCATCACAGACCCTACTGTGTTCAACTTGGAGTGGCATGACTGTGAGCCACTTGGAGCCTGGATGTCTTGGTCTAGGACCGAACCAAACAAACCAGAAACAGAAAAGTGCATACGACTTCATTTTACTTCTAACAAGTTCCGCACAACTGAATGCAGTACCAACCGTCATGTGGTTTGTCAAGAGTCTACAGGTAGGAAGCATCGTTAATTGGTGTCGAGTTCGAGGTAATTGTATTTTTCATTCTTGGACAATATAACGTGTTGTGTGGTATAAATCAAAGTGTGAACATGTAGAATAGTGTTATTTTGTCACAGAGACTATCCGTTTTCTGATTTTAGAATTCTTCATGTTGGTAGATAAATTCTTACAGCTTACGTTCTTACCACATACAAAATTCAGAAAACGAAGCGGTACTAGATTTACTGAAAGGTGTTTCTTATTCCAAGTGGGAAGATCAGCACAAGAAATAAAGATGGGTTTGGCAGCGCCAATAAACATCTAATGGTACGGGCACATTATCACATGTAGAGAATTCAAATCATCTTCACTGATGAATGTTCCAAAAGGCTGTTGTAGTGCAGGTCGTAACTCTGTGCTGATATTCGATTGGTATATGATCTCTTTGAACCGGGATCGTGGAACAAATCCATATCATGTTGACTCACAATGATCCGGGTAAGAATTGGTCTTAAGCAACCCACGTTTGTCGTAAAGGGGTCGGGTGTTCAGCCAAGCTGACTTGGTTGACACGTCATCATTTCCCAATCGCTAAGATCAATGTTCATACAGTTGATCACTGGATTGTCCAATCCAGACACGATTAAATGCAGACCGCCGCCATGTAGCTAGAATATTGGTGAGTGCGACGTTACACAACAAATATAGCTTGTCATAGTCTAAACAATTAATGTCTTTTTATTCACCAGATGAATGTACCTTTGAAAGATTTGATGGTCAGGACGTTGTTATTCTTACGTCTGCCTCCTCCATTAATGTGAGCATTGATGACTGCAAACGCGCATGTCTCACACATACCGGAAGTGCACAGTGTGTTTCTATAGTCTACGACAGCGAAACCACATCCGGCGACCCCTGCAGGATCTACACCAGGCTAAAGGTGTACATAAAGGACAATCCGGAAATGACGTCATCGTCTGGAAGAACAGTTCTCGTGAAGCGGTGTGTTCAAGGTACATATGCATGAGAAAGTTCAGATTTGCTTTATGATGCCGGAATAGGATTGATTTTGGTTGAAGCAACTTGACGCGACTTGTGTTAGCCATAAGGGACCACTTCATTGATCGGGTGGCCAGACTAGATGACTTGGTTGATGTCATGTCATCGTCCCAAAACAGTGTGATCGTTGCTCATGATATCAGTCACTGGATTGTCTGGTTCAAATTGTCACATACAGACGTCCGTCCTATAGAGTAAATACAATATGTTAAACAATAAACAAACGCTCAAATAATTATGATTTTTCACTGACACTCCGAACCTTATGTAATCCACATCTTGATATTATTTCAGAATTATTGAAATACTGGACATTTTAAGCGATTAATTATTTTAGTGTCGAACTTTACCGAGTTGTGCTATTAAGAAAAAAAACCTGTTACTTTTTGTTTTATGTGTCATAATAAAATAACTTTCAGGTGATTACATGTCGACTGCCGTATCGGTTCCAACAAACACAGACAACGACCCAATAACAGCGTGTCTTGTGACCACGTCATTGACATCTATTAAGATCTCATCATCACCTACATATCCAGGCACAACTATGGATATTCAACTGTCTGTTTTAACCGACACTCAATCACAGATGATACATTCTTCATATGTAAGTTTCAGTAACGGTGGTTCTGTGTACGAAAGTGCATTTACATCCGCAAATATCTTTCCTGAGACGAACTCAATGACGTCCAGTTCAGTGAATTCTCCTGAGACATCCGTCATAGAGACCGAACCTTCTTCCGAATCACATTCTACATCCACAAGTCGCATGTACTCAGTGGCTATTTCAATGATTTCCAGTTCTGTGAAGGCATCCGTCATTGAGACCGAATCTATCGAATCACATCTGACATCCACAATGACATCAAATAAGCTTACTCCTATCAGCCTGTATTCATCAACCTCGTCCGGTGGCTTCAGAGACAGTACATCACACAATTTGTATTGGAGTAATGCTTATTTGACGTCCTTCTCCGACAGCACAACGATCAAAACAGCTTCTGCGTCAAACGTTGCACCCTCGGAAACTTTAACGATGACCATGTCTGAATCGTCACAAATCACCACGTTGCCTGATGTTATTGACACGGCATCATCTGAGGACACAAGACCTACATCAACTATTGTCAGCGATCCTCTGGAAACGGAGTCAAGCACACAGGTTTCCAACCTGGATCTGGATCCATCAAGCGTAGTGTCAAGTACTGGTAAGAATCCATTATTTTAACAATAGCCAGTTGATGTTTATTTTCAGGACGTTGTCTAACAATCCAAATCGACCATGCAAGTTTAAGCAGAAATTATTGATAAGAGTGACACAACACAAGTGAAACTCCAACTCAATTATCATATGTCAGTTTTGTCATTATATAAAAAACTATTCTGTCAAACAATAAACACTGATTGTGCATCTTCTGATAATCTTCCTATGATCGAACACCCCTTCTCAGCAATTGACACGACAGGAAACAATGTTAACCAGAGCAGGCTAAGACGGGAGAGGAACTTCATCAGGGTTCTATTTTGTTCCAATCCAAAGTCCTGACATCAAATAATGCATATATAACTCCACTTCAGTTCGAATAAGTCCAGTGAAAACAGATTTAAAAATATTGACTTCCACTGACATCATTTGTTCCTGTGGGCGAAGGACTCGTGAAGATCGGCTTTAGAAATGATTTTCAGCAACCAATGTTTATCATCGGAGGCGTAAAATGGGATCGGGTGGTAAGGGATTATAGGGCAAATTGCGTAGATCGATGTCAGTCACTGGTTTATCTGGTCCAGACTTGATTATTTACAGAAAGCCGCCATATAGTTGGAATATTGCTGAGTGCGGCGTTAAACATCCAAACAACCAAGAACCCGTGGGCGAAGGGGGATCAAACATATTGCCACAGTTAAATAATCAGAAAATAGATGTGTTTATGTCTGCCGATTTCAGTTTCCCCAGGTTCACGCACGCCAAGCGAGCACCACTGTGTTTGCGGATGCATGCACCCTCTGATGTCGATGGTATTCGACGTCAATGGCTATCTGTTGGACCGAAAAAATCTCTCCTCCTACAGAAGGTCCAAGACATCGGCCAATGATGATCGTGTTTCGGCCAGAGCTATCGGCGGTTCAGGACTTGCCATCATCCTACTCGTCACTGCGCTCATCGTGTGTGTTGATGTGGACAGGATGATACGAGCGACGGGACATTGTAGAAAACGTCAAGCTCTTTCAATGTTTAGTTCCATATGTTGTAAAAGAGGAGATAAGCTATAATCGTATTCCATACTACTTAGAATCCAGCCAACCACCGCTGTTTCGAAGTTAACGAGAAGTTCACGAGAGATAAGCTTTGAGTGTATTCCATACTATGTATTGAACAGCAAAATTATGTCTAATCAATTATTCTATAGAAAATACTATCAATTTAACAGCTGAAAGTTGCTGTTGACATTGAACTGCAATAAGCACAAATTGATCACAGTCCGTCAAATGTAGATACCCCTGAACGCGAAAAATGGCAGTCTCTTTAGTAGCGCATATAGCCACCTTGTGCTTGCGCACAGGCCCTGCAACGTCGCCTCATTGACTTCACTAGAGTAAGAAAGAATGCCTGAGGCAAGTGGTTCCCGATCCACTCAAACACCAATCCCTGTTCCAACTGTGCAAGTGTGAGTGGCTGTCTACCTGCAGCAATCCTACGTCCAATTTTGTCCAAGAATGTTCAATGGGAGCCATATTCGGGGAACGAGACGGCTATGGAAGAACGTTAATGTTGTTCTGAGCCAGATAATCCATTGACGCCCTTGCTGTGTGAAGGCTGTAAACGTCGCTGGCGTTGTTGACGTGTCAAACTTGGCCCCACATATGGCTGCCGGTGTAAGATTGAAAACATACCCGCGTTGAAAAGGTACCCGGCGGGTACTTTTTCAACATTGAATTATTACCCGGACTCACTTTTCAACGCCGGGGTCTTTTTTCAACATTGAATAATTACCCGGCTGCTATTGAAAAATAACCCGGGTCACGTATTGAAAAGATACCCTCGTTGAATAATGACCCTGCTGTTTCTAACGCTGTGAACGTACGTAGCCAATTGAAACATCGTGGATTAGCTTTTTACCCATGTACATATTTATGTATATTTCTAGCAATACAACTTAATTATAGATTCGTGTTTGTGTTTTAATTTGGTCTCTCGCAATTCCGTGTGGAATGGCTTGCGTACACATATTTATGGTTTTATCAAAATGTTTTGTTCAAAATGCTGTACATACGGTGAGACCGAAATAAATCTTTTGTTGGACGACTGGTCCTGTCTTTGATAGACGCCGCAGATCCAGACGGAAACATCCAAATCTTTGATATCGTGCCGATGCACGTCCGTATAAAAATGTTACACATCTCAAAAGAATATAACACTGATAAAGTCATTGCATTTCAACACTTTTAATCAACGTGGAAGAACAGGAAATCAAGGATATCTAAGATTTCAAAAGCAGTAGGAACTACCCAAAGTGGGCGTCTAAAAATCAAACTTTCAAACTTTCGCCGAAAATGTGAAAAATTCAATCTGGATAACGACAACCTGTTTATTAAATCCAAATCCGGACCGCTAAGAGTCCCTCACAAGGCAGATGTGCCAGTGTCAGTGTCCCGATTTCTCGAAACAAACTTAAGTTTTAACTCAAATTTCAAACTGAGTTTGACAATTTGAAACAGCTGATTTTTTTTAACTCAACTGCATTTTTAAAATAAAAAAACCCAAACAACTTAAGTTATCTATCCACCAAACTCAAATTCTCTACTACGTTTGAGTTTTATATCGATTTCAGTTCATTCTGGGAAATACATTTTCTCAAATTTGAGTAAAAACTCTAACTTAAGTCAAAACTCAGACTTAAGCTTGTTTCGAGAAATTGGGCCTGAAGAGCGTCCATCAGGAAATGGGGGCACACCTTGGTGTAAATAAAACGTAAGTATACCCGCTTTTTTTAAATGCAATATCTACTGATATTCTAATGTAGCTGCGGTTTTATTTTATTTGACCTTTCACGCGTTGAAGTATATATATGAATCCGCTATTACCTGTCCACTAAGGCGTATATAGAACATCAAACTTGATAGCAACGTTAGTTTTCGTACAACATAAATTTCCTTTGAGTTATACCGAGAACAAAAAGTTAAACGACACTAGCACTACCAAGAAGGTGAAAAACCGTGATTGATGAACGTGGATTTTATGCGTCATTGACAGAACTATGGCTACATTCCTTCTCTCCTGTGAGATTGTTCTGTAGTGATCCGATATCCTATAGGTGACTGACGGTGATAGCGTTTTTGGTGTTGTCATGGGTATAAAAACATACACATCTCAATATTCAGTGTTATCCTAATGAAACTGCAATAATTTTATTTTATTGCTTTTGTGTGCCGTAAATAATCATCTCTAAGCAATTATGTTGTTTTCTTTCACAAAGCTCTCTTCACTTTGTTCCTTCACCACAACCAGACATCTCATCCCACAACATTACACCCCACCCCTATAACCATATATCCCCCCACCCCAAGAAGACACATAACGCCTGGACATCCACACCACTACAAGCATAGACCCCCCTACCCTACATCGCACGTCCGCATATCAACACACACACAACCATACCCCCCTCCCCAACAATCATACATCCTCATCCCCACAACCACTTGTCCCCACCCCAATAACCAGACATCCCACCCCTGCACATTGGAGCAAGCCCATTAATGGACATGTAAACCAACACAAGAAGTTTAAATACAACGCTGTCTCTTACAGGGAGCCAGTGTAAAACCTTCAGGACTGGTGTTATGTGCACATACATATGTGTGCGTGTTACGAGTCTGGCAGCTGTGTTTTGAACGCGCTGTAACGTGTCCATGCACTGCTGTTGTGTTCCATAGAGTACACTGTTGCAGTAGTCTAGGCGTGATGTCTCAAATGCATGGATTGGGCATTTTACTGATGGTGTGTCCATGTACCTGCTTATCTGTCTGATGTTCCTTAGGTGGAAATTTGCAGATTTGCAGATGTTACTAACGTGATTTTCCGTGTTTAATGTTGAGTCAAAGATGACACCTAGATTTCGAGCATGGCTTTCTGGTTGAACAAACGTGTCTCCAATTTGAACTCCAGGGTCCTTGAACTTTAATTTTATCTGTTTGGAGCTGATGATGAGAATCTCCGTTTTGTCATCGTTCAGTTTCCGAAAATTACCCTTCATCCAACATTTGATCTCAGCTATGCAATATGTTATTGTCTGCAGGGTATTCTGTACAGAAGATGCAGTTTGTGGCTTGAATCCGATATATAACTGAGTGTCATCAGCATAGAGATGATAACTGAGATTGTGGGCTCGGGCAATATCACCAACGGGTATGGTATATACAGTGAACAGCATTGGGCCCAGGACTGAGCCTTGTGGCACTTCATACCTTAATTCTCTGCTCTCAGACCTTACCCCATCGATGATAACTGATTGCTTGCGCCCTGTGAGAACAAACACACATTCCCACACCTACAACAATACATCCCGCCGCACATTCCCATTCCCGCAACCATACCCCGGCCAAAACCACCATACAAACCCACCACTATTATCACACATCCCCACCCCAGCAACCTACATCCCCACACTCATAAGAAAACATCCCACGTTCTCACATTCCCATCCCAACAACCAAACATCACCACCCCCAAAACAACAAATCCAACCCCCCAAAACCTACATCCCCACAACCATATATCCCAATTCTGCACATTCCCATCCCCACAACCAAAGATATCCACCCTAAGGACCACAAATCCCAAATCCCCCCAACCACGTGTGGTTGATATATGTTTGTGGAGGTCGGAGTGTATGTTGGGGGGCGGGGGCGGGGAGTAGTTATCTGAATGTTGTCACATTAAGTGTCTGAATAGGTTTGCAAAACAACATGACAAAGGTATACCAATATTATTCAGAAATGTGTATGATTGCAATAAACATGGAGAATCAAATTCTCTGTACACAAAAATACACACAGATATACTGCTCGATACAAGGAATTTGACAAAACTAAACTGAATATATAAAAATACACAGTATGATCTGTATGTTAATAGATTACCCTAAACATGCATACCTTGCCATAAAGGTACATATATTTGTAGATGAACTTTTTAGACAGATACATTCCACTATTTGTTATTTTTACTTATGGCACCTGTCCTGAGCACTGCAGTTTTTATGGCTTGAAGCCAGTATGTGAGTATACATTTGCCATATATTGATCATTTTGAGCATGATAACCATGGTGATATTAGAATAGATCTGATACATGTCAATAATCACATAATTTGATATCAACAATTATTCAGCCAGATAGCAGGTAACACGTTTGATTAAATGCAGCAATGGACTCTTTTTGCTTTACTTTTTTATATTTTATAGCAGTGCATACATACCTATATTTCAACACACAATCAGTGATTTTGCTTGGAGAATGTTCTCTGAAATTGTTCACTATTGTGATTTGTTTTAAAAATTAAAATTTATATGGTGTGTCTCGAAATTGTGTCTTTTTATGATATTTGGATATTGTGTTACCACCTAAACTTATTTGGACTAAAGCACAAACTACTCATGGTACACAGAGTAAAGAGGCAAATATGACATTGTACATGTATTAAAAGAAAGTTGGAAATAAACAATGCCAAGTTATATTTAAGATAGTTGATGCTATGATTGTCTCTATAGTGTGTTATGGTGCAGAAGTGTAGGGCACCCCATATTGTAAAATTATTGAAGATGTACAGCATAAAATGTGTAAAACAACAAACAATGCTATGGTTTGGGAGACTGTGTCAGAGCCCCTCTCAGACTTGAGTACACCAAGGGTTAAATATTTAGTATTGGTGCAAGCTACTGTATTTGGATGAACACTTACTCCCTCGCAAATTCTATCTAATGGACGACACTGGCTGTACAATATGGGCTACTCATATAAAACATATTCTGTTTAGACTTGGATTTGAATATGTCTAGTTAAAACAAGATGTGAGAAATGTGAAGATATTTTTTCACCTTTTCAAACCATGATTATTTCACAACCTACTGCAATCATGGTGCAGTTCTGTGAACAGTTTATCGGATTCATTCTGTTAACATTTCATAATGTGTCCGTTTTCCGATGACATTAAAAACTGCAGCAGCCACTGCTGTATCTGGGGTTGGAGGGGTACATTCAGTTTTATAGTGATGTGATTTTCCATATCCAGTAGATAACACGCCAGTGGTCCGATGTGTAATCAACTTCTCGGTAGCATCACTCAGATGTTGCCCTACAATGACTATTGTTATACTTTAAGATCAATGCCTATATTGTGTCACCATGATCAACCCCATGCAAAATGGAAGAAAAGATATAGATGTTACATGTATATTGAAATGATGTATGAAAAATAATAAATATATTCTTCTTTATTTATATTTTTTTCAAAATTACACTTTTGCATAAATAAAATTTCGAATTAATCAGTTATGTGTTTCAAATGTGTTAGATCTATTTATCATTAATTATATAATGTGGTAACAAATATTTTCTAGTTAGTATTACTAGGCGTTCAGTTTATTTCCAGCAAACAACAGGAAGAAATGGGACCAAATCATCGAATTATACCTAACCAAACTACATTAATACTAACTATATTCAAGCAATTTAGTCGTTAAGATCCATGTTTTGTGTGTACTATTTCGAGACAACAGCGCGCTGACACGAAATATCAACGCACATGTCGGTGTTGGAAATGGCATATGCGTTATTGTTTACAAATGGCATATGTGTTTTTGTCTCGAAACGGCTTAAATAGCAATCAAGATGTACGGAAACTGAATCCATGTGATACAACATATGAAAAATGGTACATCTCCAGGTATTGATAACGTCCTTATAGAAATGATTAAAACAAGTGAATCTAAAATAATGAGTGAGTGAGTGAGTGAGTTAGGATTTTAAGTCACATCGGCAATATTTCAGCCATATCGTGACTAAAGCAAGCTTTTAATATATCAACAATTTAAGTGAAATTATAAAATTCTGCCAACGAAGGACAGTAAAATAACTAGATTATCACAGATATAGATATAAAACTAGTAACTAAATCTAAAACATTTGAACTATACAAGACGATACAATATAAAAACAGGCTATTGATCGCCAACAACTGAAGGTAGATCACCATACTAGGGACCATGGGGACTTACAGTACATTTGCTTCCTGCATGGACCCTAGCTGGATTTACACCATCCCTTCAGCCATTGGCGACAGAAGAGAAACCTAGCCATAAATTAAAAGTACACATATTCTACGATTAAAAACCTGGTACACTTAAATTGACTAAATGTTTTGGGACTTACGTACCCTCTCAGGAGGACAATAATTTTACGCTACTTCAACCCCCTTTGAGGGTACAGCCACTAACAATATCAGTTACTAATTTAAACTACCAATAATAAAATATATATCTATTTACAAATCAGTTAGCAAGTCTATTTTTTTTAAAAAGGCAATAATTAAATGAGAACTTATATGACTATAAAGATCCTTCATAGTTCGTGATTGGAAATAGATATCCCTTGTGATGGAATATTCAACACAGTCAAGCAAGACATGCTTGACCGTGATTCGTTCATCACAAGGGATACAAAACGGAGGATCCTCACCTTTTAACAGGTATTCATGAGTATATCTGGTGTGACCAATACGACATCGTCGTATGATGACCTCTTCAAATCTGGACTGACAACCCAAGTAGGTGTAACCGATAGTTGGTTTTATTGCATGTAATCTATTAATACCTGCTTGGGTGTCCCACTTCTTCTGCATCAGATCACGGATGTAAGTTCTAATGCAAGCTTTGCAATCAGAGTAAGGGATCAGAAGTGGTGTCACAGATTTGTTGAGTGCTGTCTTAGCAGCAAGATCAGCCATTGTGTTCCCAGAAATGCCAACGTGGCTGGGTAACCAACAAAAGACGATGTCGCATTGGCTAGTAGCAAGCTCATTATATAATTCGATTATTTCAATTAAAAGTGGATGTTTGCAAGAGATATTTTTAATAGCCTGAAGGCAAGAAAGAGAGTCAGAAAATATTATATATTGTTTATGTTTGGGATGTCTTTGAATATATTTAAGAGCTGTTAATATGGCGTTTGCTTCTGCTGTGAAAATAGAGCTGTTATTGGGTAATCGAGAAGAGATTGTTCTGGATCCAATGACGGTGGCACAAGCAACCGCACCACCATCCTTGGACCCATCTGTAAATAAGGATGTGTATGTAGTATATTTAGTTTTTAATTGATTAAATTCTTGTTTATATTGTAATTCATTAGTTTCTGATTTTTTAAATGTTGTCAGTGTAAGGTCAACCTGTGGCCTAACCAATTGCCAAGGAGGAGAAGAAATAAGACGGGAAGGAGCTATATGTTCTAGCTCAATGCCAGCAGCAGAAAGGAAAGGTTTCACTCTTATACCAAGAGGTGGAACAAGAGAAGGCTTCTTGTTATACAGATCCTCATATATTGGATTAAAGACACAGTCATATGCAGGGTTTGACTTATTGGAATAAAGTTTTGTTATATACTGTAAAATTAATTTTATACGGCGTTGTGTAAGAGATGGCTTATCAGCCTCGACGTAGAGGCTGTCAACAGGTGAAGTTCTAAAGGAACCAAGACATAGTCTTAGACCTTGGTGGTGGACAGAATCTAAAAGTTTTAGGTTGCTTTTGCAGGCTCCACCATATACGATGGAGCCATAATCAAGTTTGGAACGAACCAATGATCGATATAATTGTAGTAGGGTAGCTTGATCCCCTCCCCACTTAGAATTGGAAACGACTTTCAACAAGTCAAGTGCTTTCATGCATTTAGTTTTAAGGGCCTTGATATGTGGAAGAAAAGTTAGATGCGAGTCAAAAATTAAACCCAAGAACTTTGCTTCCTTAACAACTTTGATGGGAGAGCCATTTAGAAACAGTTCCGGGTCTTTATGCGGTTTATATTTTCTACAAAAATGGATACAACTAGTTTTGGATTTAGAAAATTTAAATCCATTCTCAAGACACCATTTATCTATTTTGTTTAAACACAACTGCAGTTGCCGTTCAATAGTATGCATATTTTTACCACGACAAGAAATATTAAAATCATCCACGAATAGTGACCCATCGATGGAATCACTTAAGACCTTTGATAAACTATTGATCTTAATACTAAACAATGTGACAGACAAAATACTACCTTGTGGGACACCCTGATCCTGCTTATAATGGTCAGACAGGGTAGAACCCACGCGGACTTGAAATTGCCTATCAGTTAAAAAATCGGATATAAACTGAGGCAAACGGCCTCTCAAAC